TGCCTATCACTTATGAATGTAAAGTTGGAATTAGTGTAAAGATCAAGATCCACTCCTAGATATTGCAATAACCAGCTCCATGAAGCAATTGACTCATCTTCTACTATCCCATATGCAAGTGGGTATGTGCCACGATTAGGATCAATACCCACAACTGTCAAAATCTGTCCTGGAAAAGGACCCTTCATAAATGTACCATCCAGACCCAATAAGTCTCTTTTCCCAGCCTTAATCCCTTCCTTTAACGGCCCCAAACAACATAGATCCTTTTGAACTTTCTGGTAGTAGCAGATGGGTTTGGTTCAGACTCAACATTTAACTTAAGGTGCCTGGGTTGCATCGTTTCAACTCACATATGTAATCTCTAAGAACATGGAACTATTCTTCATAATCACCCTAAATCTTCTGATGTGCCATGGTTTTTGCCCTCATTTTTTTCATAACTGAGACATTAATTTCATACTTCTGCTCCAAGTAGGTTTGAAGAACCAAAATCGGAATAGTGGGAATTGACTGTGTATTCTCTGTTATCTTTTGAGATAGAAAAGTGTCGTGGCTATAAATATTTCCTTGCATTAGAGGCACTTCTGTGTATTAACATAGGTTTTGACTATCCAGGTTTCTATGTCTTTGTTTGCTGAGATGTGCAAAATCCATGGACAAGTAGGCCCACTGCCCTTGATAAACTTGGGTTTTCTGCCTTTCAATGTCCCACCAGACCCACTGGATCCAACTTTATTAAACTCTGGTAATGTTCCCCTACGTATGTTCCTAATACGAATAAAGTCATCTTTTTACCAAAATTATCTCTCTTCTAGTCTCAACTGCATGCTTTTTGATTAGTTTAATGACTTGTTCTTTTCTACAAATGTCTGCCCTGTATAAAAAACAGTCTGCACCTCACTTGATTTCTTCACTTTGGATCCAACAGATCCTTCCCTGTCATTGTCATATCCACTTGAAATATAATTAGATTCTACAAAATCTACATAACCATCCATATTACCATGTTTATTGTCATTATCCCGACTTGCTTGGTCAACTGTTCTCATCCACTCTACATTGCTATCAACATAGTCATCCATACCAATATCAAGTTCTTCTAACATATTGCATTCATTAAGATAATCTATGTCTTTACTATCATCATTCTTATTTGTGCCCTCACCCTTTTCAACTCCTTTGCCTATCTCAGGTTGTGTGCCATTGCCCTGCAATTCTTTCTCTCCCTTGCCTATCTCAGGTTGTGTGTCACTATCAATGGCAAAGAAGGGATCACATTCATTAACATAAGCAAATAAATCAACTCCCTTCCCTTATTAATTCCCTTCCTTTTATCAAGTCCTTTTGCATTATCAATGGCATGCTCGTTAAACATTTCATTCAAAACAAATGGGATATCGATATTGTTGCCCTGTTCATACAACTTTTCATTTACATCAAGTGGCCTATCCATGTCAATTTCTTGTCCATCCACCTTTTGTTTAAATTAGTTCCCTTCCCCTTACCAATTCCCTGTTGATCCACATAAGGGGTCAACTCTTTCATCTCTCCGTTTTCATCTACATCTGCCTTTTTAACAACTTCACTTACCTCACTTTTGGTGTCACCCCATTCAAGAAACAACTTTTTCTTACATCTCCTACTAACCATTTTCTTCCTTGTATCAACATTATTTCCCCCAAGTTCATTAATTTCCTCTCTTATCATTTTTCTACCAATTGGCATTGAGTTGTATGTATCCAAAAATGTTTTCCCATGTTCTGTAAACACATCTAGAATTTTTAACCTAGGAACATACTTCATCAGCTTTAATACATCATGATCATTCCCTAATGCTTCTAACCCAAAATCCAAGTCACCACCAGGAGTCAACATTTTCTCATCTTCTTTGTACTCTAAAGCTAACATCATGGCATCCACCTGATGGACTGAAAAATTATCATTGTCATTCAAATCAACATAGTTATGCTTACCGTTAATGTATCTTCTTCCAGGAAACTTTGTGAAAACACCTCCATGGTTTATCCTCATTGTGATTATGGTAGGATAATGCTTTGTGTAAAATAAACCATAAACATATACCCAAGTTAAATATAGACAACACCTCAAAACATGGACACATACCATAAACTACAACGGGGAAAAACTCATCGCCTTCGCCCTTTCTAAGCAACCACGAAAGAGATACCATGTAGGTAAGAAAGTGAAGTTCGGTTATGAAGATAAAGTTTTATCAAGCAAAGAGTGAAGATTGAAGCTCAGTGTTTGATTGCAAGCTTATAAATGGAGTTTGGTGTACATATGTTTAGCTCAGGATGATTAGAAAGGATTTCTTGAAAGTTGGAAGTAAAGACCAACAGTCGATTAAATGAGAGGGAAAAGACAAACTTACCTCTCACGTGAGGGGCACATGGGGCCTTTAACGGCTGCTTTGCTAACGAGGTTAGGCGTGGGGACTACTTTCAAAGCAAAATGCAAACAGTAGGGATGTTAATTATAGTTATTGAAACCTAATGACCACTTTCGGTGATTCGTGTAAACCATAGGGACCAAAAAACGGATGAAAAAGTATATGAATATAGATGTCAAATTATGATTGTTTTTTGATAAAATTGTTTCATTCAAATTTTGATTATATTTAGTATTTTTTTCATTTAAAAAATAGGGGTAAGATATTTTTTAATTTAAGAATAAAGTTATAAATGCATCTTTAATCACATCAATTTTATCCCCGGTTATGAAATGTTTCTCGGGTTTCTTTCATTAATTTTGACATCTATATTCATATATACTTTTTCATTCGTTTTTATGGTTTTTCGATTTTTCATTTATTTAATGTATTCCTTTAAGCATGACACTATATATATGTACGTACGTATATGTGTGTGTAAATATATATATATATATATAAAGATTAAGTGAACAATATATATTAGTATTTGAATTTTGAATTTTGTAGGTAATTTATAAGTGTTGATGGATTTGATTTGGTAATAGGTTTAGTTAGGCCGGGCAGGGGGGGATACGGGGAAAAGCCATTTATTTGCACAAGTCATTTCACTTCAAGGGCCTAAGCTACGCAGGGTTGCTTGGTGTAGGCCATTAATGCTATTTACATGCATACATTCATACATAACAGAGACAAACACACACATATATATATATAGAGAGAGAATATATATAGAATGTATGTGTGTGTATATATATATATATATAATGTATGTATATATATAGAATACATGTAGGTATTTAATTATTTTTTGAAATTGATTGTTCATTTTGTGAATATATATCTTTTATTAAACACTATGTTTGATCTTTTTATAAGGATCATCTTTCAAGTTCACTTTCATTTAAACTTGATTGAATCAATTTTTTTTAATTAAATAACAAGATGGATTGATGATATTCAATGTAATAATACATTACAACTCTCACTATATGATAATTATATAAATTTAATAGGATTATCTGTTAACAAGATGATTTATTAAATTAAACAATGTTGGTATGGGAGTTCAAATAACTTGAATCCTGATAAAAACTTGGTTATGATCGTGGTTACTAACTGATACATGAAGAATAAGGCTCATCTGACATACCTGCATTCCCAAAAGGCTGGTATTTTATAATAGAATTATATGTCAAATCCAAAAACATAATTAGACGATTTACATTTATGTATTTGACCAATAGCAAGGTCGAAAGCAAAAAAAGATGATATTTTTCTTCACAACTAAGCATGTTGACTACGTAATAGGTATGCTAGCCATAAGCTAGTTGGACCCCATGATAGTGAAAGAGAACTCGTTGATCGATCTAAACTTAGACAAAATGCTTTTTATGACTTTGATTGATAGGTCGTCGTCGATAAAAAAGAGTGCTTCTTGATAGCTAGGGGGTCCATACCACGACTATGGCTCGAGATGACTGAACCATTAGTGCATATGTTCTTGCAACCAATCATTAGATGATTGATGTCCATGTTATTGATATGCTTCAGATTAACAATGCATATGACTGATCTAGATGATAATAACCAGAGGTATAATGTTCAACTATGTGAAAAAAAACTACAAAATGGATGATCATTCAGCATGAAATTCTTTACGTATCCAAAACATTATTTTAACGCATAAAGAACTATTCCACCATCATTTGCATTTGCATCGTTCTCTTTATTCACTTTCTTTCTAAAACGACCCTTTTTTTAATTTTCATATATTATTGTACAAATGTCTTTTTGTTCTTGTTGCTTGTATCGGTGGTTCAATGGTAACGGTTTTGATTGGTTGCTTTTCAAAAACATATATAATTCAATCGAAAGTTAAACCGTTTCGATAACGTCATGATCTAAGCTGATTTAAATGGTTTTATTATAAATATTTTTTAAATCCTTAAAAGAAAGAGTCGTTGATGATCTCTTTGCTTGTTCTTTTCTTACCAAATCTTTGATCTCTACAATAAGTATCCAAACACTACATCTCTTTAGTGTTTGTAGTCACAAGAAGTAGGCATGCGAAATTAATAAAGAAGTTCACGTGTGTTTGTCAAACCCAGATTTGTTTTTGGTCAATCTTTTCCAACCCTAAATCAAATCCATTAAAGATTCTTTAAAAAATGCAAAATAAAATCAATATAAACAAATACTCTAATAGGAAATAGACAAACCACCATTAAAAGAAATGTCTTTGTCTTTGTCTTTGTTGTTGGGCCGTGTGTTTATACTTTCCATTTGTTTAAACTTGAAACACTCTCATTACATTATTAGTATAACAATTTCAAGAAAATCTCTCTCTCATCCTTCTCTCTCTCTAGAAAGTGTTTAATTCTATACGTACATACTGTACCCTAGAACCCCATTTATATAAACTCTCCTTTTGTCCTTGGATAGTTCCCATGTCATTACAGATTTGCTTTCTTTCTTTCTAGAGAGAGAGAGGTAGAGAGAGAGAGAGAGAGTATCTTTCTAGAGAGGGATAGTACAGAGAAAAAGAATGGAGTTAGCTTTGAGTTTGGGAGATACGCCAAAACCATTTTCATTGTTGGATCATCATGACAGATCTCAGCAACAAAAGATGAAGGATTTGGGATTTTGCATGGGATTAGGAACCAGAAATCTTGAGGATCTTCACTTCAAGAATATGAGGAGAGAGAAGGATGACGATGGGCATCGGAAAACCGACGAGAGAATCAGTTCTTCTTCTTCATCGGATCCGTCACCGCCACCACCGCCACCGCTGCAGCTTGATCTCCTTCCTTTCTCTCCTGTTCTCCGATCTGCACCACCGCCGCCTTCTCACCGGTGCTTCCCGTGGCTGTCAAAAAACCGTAAATTCCCACCTTTTTTTTTTCTAATTTTATACCCATATAATTTCAGTTTTTGGTTCGTTAGTTTTCTGATCCTACTTTTGTTACAGTGAGAGCAGACCCAGGTTCACAAACTAAACCGGTAAAAGCGTTGGATGTAAAGCCGTTGGCAGCCGTATCTGATCAGGATAACGGTGAAGAACGGGTTGCCGATGAGTCATCTCCAAACAACAGTAACAGTGGTACATCGTCGTTTCAGATGGATTTCTCTTCCATTTTCAAGAGCAGTAACAGTGGAAGATCATTCCCCTCGAGGAAAAGGGATTTGGAATTAGCAACAGTGAACCTGGAGTTAATAGATGTCTCCGAAAGAGATCAAAGAGCTTCTTCAAGAGGAGGTGGAATGAGTGATGAAGATGAAAACGGGTTGACCCGGAAAAAGCTTCGACTCACTAAAGAACAATCTGCTTTTCTTGAAGATAGCTTCAAAGAACACAGCACCCTCAACCCTGTAAGTCTCCTCTCTCCATCCTTCTACTGAGTAGAACCATAAAAATGAAATCTTAAACTATTCCAAATTCTTGAAAAACTTAGGGTTTGACCATAAACAACTGAAAATTCCAAGATGATCTTCGCATATCCACCATTCAAACTCAAGGGTTTCTTGAATCTCTTACAAATAAGAACCTTCCACCCAAAAAGGAGTAAATCTTGAAGTCAGTACTCATATATGCAACCATATAGCACACTACAGGTTAAGCTTACCATGTAAGACTTAAATTCAAGACTTCTGGTAAGCACCAACCATTTTAACCAAACGAACCTTCTTGTCGCACCCATTTGGTTCAAACCCAAGATCCCTAATATTTCGCATTACTTTTTTATGATCGAAGTGTCCAATCCTTATAAAAACTGAGGACCCTCCTTTCTTGATAATCCATATCTATGTGCATTAAAACTTCACAAGAAACCCATGGCCCCTCTCTTTATAAACGTATCGGTCAAATACCAAAAGACCCATCATATATCTCACACATACAAGTACTAGCAATAAATGATTCGGGTGTGGATTTGAAAAGGAGTAAATATTCGGTGCTACTTTGTTCAGCACCATATGTGAAGTTTGTACTATTTCATTGATTATATGTTATGGGATGTATACTATAAGTCCGACAAGCTTGCATTTGTGTGTGTCTACATATGAATATATATATAAGATCCTAAATATTTAATGAAAATAAATTATACACCATGACATGATGAATGTTGCATGCCATCATGCCATCATGTCATGTAATGCTTCCATTAAATGGTTTTTGAGTGTTGGATTAGTTGACCTATGTATGTATCTATATATACTGTGTGTACAAGAATACGTGGCTGATTTTTTGTATTTATCTTGGTTTTGTAGAAACAAAAGCAGGCTTTGGCGAAGCAGTTGAATCTGCGTCCACGACAAGTAGAAGTCTGGTTTCAAAACAGAAGGGCGAGGTATTAATTAATAATTAATTTTTTGTTCTTTTTATTAATAAAACGTTAAAATAAATAAATAAATAATTAATTAAATGTGTTCAATTTGATGATATAATCACAGGACAAAGCTGAAGCAAACCGAGGTCGATTGCGAGTACTTAAAACGATGTTGCGAAACTCTAACCGACGAAAACCGAAGATTGCAAAAGGAGCTTCAAGAACTAAGAGCCTTGAAGACTTCTCAACCATTCTACATGCAAATGCCAGCCACAACTCTCACCATGTGCCCGTCTTGTGAACGAGTCGCCACCACCACCACTGCCGCCCCCACGACTGCCACCACTTCCCGCTCACAACAACCAGCCACCACCGGCAGCCACCGACACTAGCACTAACACGTAAAATATGTTGTTTTGGCTCATGGGATTTTGACTAATTAAACAACTGAGAAGAAAAACACAGAAAAGAGCAATTCACAAACTTGATGCATATGTATATATAATTTTGCCTTTTATGACCATATGTTGATTTCTTTATTTCTAGTTTTGGGAGCTCTTTGGTTTCCTTCATTAGATATTATTATGGTTTGACTAAGAAATTAATACTATAAAAGAAAAAGCTTCTTTTTTTCTTTTTTGACAATTTTTTTTTAATCTATTTTATTTTTCATGAGTTTTCAAATCTAAATGTTAGACCATTTGATATAGTCAATATAATGCAACAATCTTGAAAATGAATTTTCTTGCTTTTTGTTATTAATAATAAATATCAAAGGAGGAATAAAAATTTTCTTGTGGCCATAGATGTTCAAATGCGGTGACTACGGGCTATCTGCAAAGCAGGTGGTCGTTCTGGGATTAGTCGACTCGAATAGCAGGTTGGATATTCAGGTTAATAAAAAATATTAAAATATTCAATTTTGTTATAATCTTGATTATAAATTTCTAGAAGTGTAGATGATATCAATTACCATGAAATGGATTGTTCACCTACCATTTGGTGGGTGGTGAAAGATTTATTGATGCATTCAATTCCTCAAAAAGACCAATCCTTAAAGTCGCAAACATTATAATTCCACTTTCTTTTAATTATAAAAAAAAAATCGGACTTAATTATTTGAAATTCTAAAATTTGTGAGATCTGTGAAAACTTCAACTTTTTACGGTCTTATTTCACGTGATTTCTTTTTTTCATATAGTATTTAAAGTATTGATTACTATATATTTGTTTTACAATGTGAAATTTTTAACATGTATTTTTATTTTACAAACATGCAAAAAAGATTCACAAATCACAATATATGTGAAGCAAACACATTACAAAATAAATATATGTTAATTATTACATTAAATTTAAAGCATATTTGAAAAGTCACATGAAATTTCACATGATTACATTGGTTTTCAGGGTTCTCATGATTTATATAGTTCTCAATTGGTCCCCCCCAACATAAATACTATAGTTTACAATATCCATACTATTGTATAAAATATCAAGTGGAAACAACATCATCGTATTCAGAATTTTCTATAGGAAAATCGTTATGTGTTTTATATAAGGACAATGATTTATTTATAATATTATAACGTATAAATCCTATTATTCAAGAATATTTGCATTTGTTTTTTTGTTTGATTACAAGGTTTTGTTTAAAATTTATAGTGGTGTTTTTTTAAATTTTGATTCTTTCGATTTTTTTTACCAAAGTTCATAGGTGAACAATGATTTTTGTTTAAATGTCGTACGTGAAAAACTATAATTTTTGTTTAAAGTCCATAATATTGTATTATGTATGAACTTTGCTTGTTCCAATTTCTTTTCACCAAGCTTTATAGGTGAAATTAGAAATTGAATGAGATATTCAGGAAGTTTAAACAAGTTCATAGATGAAACCAAAAAGTTAATATGTAAAACAATTAAGTGAATAAAATAATTGAGGAATGTGATACCAATATATGGAAAAGATGAAAGTACCTCGGTTAACAAAGTTTGTACTATTTATTTGGTTAGCAAAAGAAGGGCCTATATATGTGGGGTCAGGTTAAGGGGAAAACGACAAAGAAGTAAAAAACTGAGAAATACCGTAGTAACTGTTAGTCTGGATGCACATGTGCGTATAAGTAAGTTCTAAGCAATATGTCTGATAAACACATGTGCATAACATGCACACGTGTATAAAAACCAAGAAATAACTATAATCACTTGTATGCGTATGTGCATACCATCAAAACTATGCGTTGGTTGCATTGGGTTAAGGTTTTTTAAGTTATTTTTTGGGTTGGCTTGGCTGGTTTGGTCGGTATTTTGAGCACCTCTAGTGGATAGTTACAATTTTTATTTTTTTGGTGAGATTTGAACCATTAACTTTCTGAAAGTTCTAAAACTTTATGTTCAATTCGGTTTTCGATTCAAGATTTTTCCAAAAAATATTAAAATTTTCAAATTGAAACATTGTCATTTTAGATTTCCGTTTTTCAAATCAAACGAAAAACCAAGCTTTTGTTTTGATCACATTCCGGTTTTCGGTCAAACTATGGGTTCATATCTGTTGGTTTCCAGTTCCAGTATTTTTGAATTTTAGTTCGATTCAATTTATACAATCCTATTCCAACACGATGAACACCCCTAGTTTTTTTCTTTTTCTTTTATTTTTGGTTATAATATTTTTCTTGTTCAGAAATGCCCAAATATGACTTCATATTGGGCCATTGGGGTATACAATTCAGAGAAAGGCCCAAATAGGACATAATATTGGTTTTGAGGCCTGGGCTATAAACATAATAAAAGTTCCTTTTTCAATAAGTCAAACAACAATTAAGTTGTTTTATATTTTTAGTTCATGGGTAATTTCAACTATAGACGGCCAAAAATGGGTCCCGGGTCGGGCCGGTCCCAGTCCCAATCGGTCCTAACCTTTCTCATAACCGGCCCCGGTAAAAAATGATAGGACCGGTCAAGGTACTTCATAACCGGTTATGGGCCGTCGGTCCCGGTCCTGGTCCCAATCGGTCCTAACCGGTCCTTGCATTAAAAAATAAGATTTTTTTGATTTTTTTTAATGATATATATTTTTAATACATTATAAAATTTACAATTGGGTCACTTAAATACACTTTAAAAATACGTTTTAATATAATTAAAATTACGTTTTATTATAAAAATACATTATAAAATTATTTAAAAATACTTTTATTATAAAATTACTTGAATTTTCGGCCCGGGCCGGGCCGGGCCGGTCTATAGTCGGTCCCATAACCGGTCCCGGTCCCGGTCCCACGAAACTACCAAAAACCTCAACCGGTCCCCGTTTTCGGTCCCATAACCAGTCCTTACCGGTCCCGGTCCCGGGCCGGTCCTTTGTCGGTCCCGGTCCTCCAACGGTCCCAGGCCGGGCCGATTTGGCCATCTCTAATTTTCAAGTAAGAAATTAAGATGTATCAACATTGTTTATTTCTCTTTTTCAAATGCTATTTTGAAAAATAATTTAATAAGATTTTACATATTTTCATTTAATGTATGATCTTGGAAATTCTTGTGTTCTCAATGGAACACTATACACACATATATATATATATATATATATAGAGAGAGAGAGAGAGAGGGGCTAAATTATGTAAGGGCCAAAGAAAGGTTGAAAACCTTTAGGATTAATCAAATCCGTATATTAAATTACATCAAAGGTTGTTAAAAAAAAGCCTAATTGAAATAAAATGATGTAGGGAAATCCATAGAAAAAACTGAAGCAGAGATCAAGGAGATTAATGATGATTGGTGGAGAAACATGAAGAGGCAGAGTAAAATGGAGGAAGCGATTGAAGAGAAGAAGAAGACTATAAAGCAATTGTAGAAAGAGATTCGAGTTAAGGAAAAACTTGTGAAGGATATAGCGAAAATTGTAGAAGACTATAAAGCATGCATGTACAAGTCTTAGCATGCCAATCACACTTTCCATTCTTATACTTGTCATCAAGTTCAAACAACAACTCGCAAATGAGATATACCCTCTAATTTGCACTCCTATGGATTCTCTTTTCTATTTTTGCCTTCGCCAAGGTGTCGCTGCATTTATCATTTGAGCTGTAAATAAATGATAACATTAGTCTATGTTATATAATCATACATATAGTTTTGGATGCTTGCATTTACCTACATTATCTCGAGTATAAAATATCATTGTTGCAATGTACTTCGATAAAATTCAGCTAACATTGTTATCGAAAGGGAACGTACAAACCGGGTTACTGAGTTGACGGACTCCGCACTTTTGGAAGTCATTGCATTGTAACGCAATCCAGGGAAGTGCGATCTTGCTCATCTAGCGTAACAAACTTACTCAAGATATTGAGTGGCGTTAGGCTGATTGTAAAATATCAAATCCATTGTAGCTTCAAAGTCCGACACCTTATAAGCTTAGCATGTCTTCTAGAACATCCACCTTTTTCTTTTGTCTCTACTCGAGGTTCGGTGCAAATTCTGGCTCAAATGCCGACAACGAAGTCTGGTGCGCGTATGGGGGATCCTAACGACATACACTCTAAGGCACCATTTATCGTCTGGAATTAACCACCACTTTGAACATACACGAAAACATTATCACTTTGACGTGATTTCATATTTGTGTTTAAGGGTGAAGGGTTGTGATGATAGATTGTGTTTATGGGTTAAGGGTTAAGAGTTGTGATGATAGATTGTGTTTAAGGGTTGTGATGGTAGATTGTATTTAAGGGTTAAGGGTTGTGAGAGTAGAAGTGAGGAAAACCTTTTTCTTTTTTCCTTTGTCAATTTAGAAGATATGAAAGTAGAAGTGATGAGTGATGTGTGAAGGAAAATGAATGAGAGGTCACAAGCTATATATAGTGATATTTGTTGCACCGGAAGACAAAAATAGGGGTCGGATCGCCCTCGGGGAAAGATCCTGGGGTAGGTGGGGGGCAATCCCCCCTATTTAAGAAAAAACATATTTTTGGTCCCCCTAAATCAGATACACATGGGCCTCAAAATCAATTTAAAAGATTTCTTATGTACTTTTTTTGTGTCAAAGAAGCTTGGATCGCCCTCTATGGTCAACATCCTCCCTGAGGGCGATCCATTTGATTATTTTATTAAAAACTTGAAAAAATGACAATTTTATTAATATATTAAGTATATTTTATTCATTTTGATGAAAAACCTTTTATAGATAGCAAATGAAAAAAAAAATACCCATAAAGTCCAACTTATTATTGAATATCTTCCACAAATCCACAAAAAAATAACAAATAAATAAATAAATAAAAACAATTGTTAAGAAATTTTTGACGGAACCTAATCCGTCGAAAATTTCTTAAAAAAATGTTCTTTGAAAAAAACTAAAAACATTTTTTTGAACATTTTAGACGGAATTTTGGTGGATCCCTCAATTCGTCGGAAATTCGGAAACTTTTAGTTTCTTTTTTCAGAATATTTTTTTTAAATAACAACAAAAAAACATTTTGTAACCAAATTCCGACATATTTTAATAATTTTTTAATTAATTAAATTCTGCCATAAATATTTGATTAATCAAGTAAATTGTTTTTTTTTAAAAGAATTAGACAATATTTGTGACGGATCTTTTAAATAATAAATAATTAAAAAATCTTCCGCAAATTTTTATAGAAATTATTTTTTTTAAATTTATTTGCTGATTTGCTTATTTATTTAAATAATAAATAAACAAATAAAAAAAATCTTCCACAACTTGACTTTTTTTTAACTTTTTTTTGATCTGTCGAAAATACGTAGGCAATTTCTCGACGGAAAATCCATCAGAAAAATCCGTTGATGAAACTCCTTTATTAATTAGTAGCATTACACCGTGGACGTGGACCCTGTGGTTTGCTCAAAATTTTGGATTTGGACACTAAAACTAACTATTTACACTGATGTCGACAACTTTTCAATTTCTTTACACTCAGTGCCCCTAGAGTTAACCCGTTAAGTTAACAACCGATATAAAAGACAAATCAGTTTTTGGCCAACTACAAGACCGGAAGTGTAGTTCATTTTAAATTTATTGTGATTAATATCTTTAAAAAAATCATCATTAATATATAACTATTCCATTTTAACCGTACTTAATTTCCAATACTTTGCATATTTTATAATGTTCAACCCCGAAACATACATGGACTTCTATCGAGTTCTTTTTTTTAATTAAGAATTTTATAACGTAAAAGTCATTTTATCAATCTAATAGTTTTTTTAAATATATATAATTTTTTTTATTTAATATGTACTTTAATTAAGAATTTGACTTGTGATTAGAATATATGGGGGTGTTTGAGATTGTTTATTTAAAACAACTTATGTTTTTTTTTTATAAAATCAAACCGGAGTTTTGTAAAAAATGTTTGGATTAGCTTATAGCAGTACCAAAAAACAATAAGCTGATAAGTGGTTTTTTAGTGTTTGACAAATTTTGCTTATACATGTAAAATGACAAAAAATGCCAGTCTTCCATATTATTGACTTATTTGATTTTTTAAAATGTAAAAAATTATTTTTCATCATTTATAATAATATCTTTGATAAAAATTTATATCAATAAGATTAATAATTAACAAACATTAATAAAACATAGTTAAAATGGTAAACTGGTAATAAACAGTTTTCATAAGTAAAAAAGGATTAACTTATCAAAAACTGCTTATTACCGGTTTGGCACCGGTGTAAACAGTTTTATTTTTCCTCATTCAAACACTATTATTTAGCTTATCACCAATGCCAGACTAAAATAAGTCAAAAAACACATAAAATAAGCAATCCCAAACACCCCCAAATTTTTTTTATCAAAATATTTTTTTAACGAAAAGATGTAAGTAACAATTAATTTTTTAAGAGTGAATTACACTTTTAGTCCCTATAGTTTGTCTAAAGTTTTATTTACCCCTTATAATTATTGCTAACTAACGATGTTAAATACATAAATCATAAATGTTATGAAATTTAAAAGTTAAATCATAAATGTTATGAAATTTAAAAGTTAAATCATAAATGTTACGAAATTTAAAAGTTAGAGAGAATTAGGGGCCGTTTATTAAACACTTATTTGGTAAGTGTTTAAAGCATAAATTTTCTCATCGGATGAACATGAGAACGGTCAAGAATCTTACCGGATAAGAGCGATGAAAATAATGGAGAGTCTTACCCGGTAAGTGCAGATGATGACTCTTACGCAGGTAAGCGCTTACCCAGTAAATTGTTGCATTCGATATGTTTTGTTGTACTAAAATCTTACACATGAAAATAATTTATAGTGTTAACTTCTATTGATAATCGTTTACCGGATAAACATTTGGGTAAACGACAGAAATAGGGAACAAATACGTAACCGCAATGTATAATTCACTCTCTCTCTCTCTCTCTCTCTCTATATATATATATATATAGAGAGAGAGAGAGAGAGAGAGAAGGAATCAAGTTCGATGAGAGAGAGTGATGAAGGATACTAGGGTTTGGTTTAGGTTCTACTCCATTCTTGTTGTATGCTTTATCTAACCAAGTTGCAGTTCTTAGAGAACTTTGAGGTTTGAACTAATTAACTGGTTTAATTCCAACTTTTGTATTCATAAATTTAACCCATAACATAGTAACAACTTAACAACTATATCAGAATCAGATGCAATGAAAGTAACAGTACTTTATCATGGATTTGCCTTAAGATTTACCATCCATTGGAGGAAGTTGATAACCTAAAGCTTCTTACACCAACAAATCTTTAATTATTCAAGTAAACCCTACATGAACTCAAATGGGTTTTCTGGGAGCATGCTCACCAAGTCTTCCGTCGTTGGAGTCGCTGATCTTTCTGAACCAATTTCAAAACTTTCCCAACTTTTCAACGACTCCTGCTCAAATACCATTTCCATTGGTAGCTCTGGGGATGTGATTACTTTCCCTGATGAAGAACTCGCACAGCCATGGAAGAAAGGATGCTCAAGAACCTCCTCCGCTGTCGGCCTCCAGCACGGATTCCACGAAACGAGTTTAGTAATCAGATCGACTGCTTCCGGGCTTGCCGATGGTAACAATGTAGAAAGATCCACCCCTGGAAACTCTGGAAACTGATAACTGATCATACCCGCAAAATACAATCCCAGACTCCAAGTGGTTTCAGTTGGACTGCCTATCACACTGCAAATCTCATCCAATACACCTGCTGAAGAAGCGCCTTGAAACAGCGGTCGGAGGGTAAATAGTTCGAACATGATTGCACCCATTGCCCACATATCGACTGAAGAATCATAAATCTCCGCAGAGAGAAGAACCTCAGGGGCACGATACCATCGTGTTGTAACATAATCCGTGTATGGAGGTCCGCCATTGATCCTGCGAGCTTGACCAAGATCTGCGATCTTGATTACATCCTTGGAAACAAGAAGGTTTTCTGGTTTGAGGTCACGATGAAAGTAGCCAACGGTGTCATGCATGTATGCAAGACCTTGAAAGACTTGGAAACACAAGTTCCTAATCTCTGTTTCGGAAAAGGGATTCGTTGTGCGTATCATTTTATTAAAAAGACTGCCTCCTTCCATGTATTCAAACACCATAAACAATATGCTGTTTTCTCTGACGACTTCTATAAGCTTCACAAAATTAGGATGATTCTTCATCCTGAGCAGCGCCTTGACTTCTCTCAGCTTCATGCATTCTTCCATGGAGTTAAACCTTTCGTTCATCAGTTTCTTGATTGCAACCACTTCACCATTTTGCAAATTCTTGGCTTTCCAGACGACCCCATATGATCCACGTCCAATTTGTTTGATTCTTTGATACTTTTCCATTCTTTACGTACTGTCGTAGACCTTTTTCTCAAAAAGAACACACAATCATAGAAGCAGATCGAAACAACCTAACTTTTCACACGTCCAGATCACCTTAAACTCTCTTGATTGACGAAGGGGTTAAAGAACAGATGGTAGAGAAGGAAGAGAGTTGAAGTGAGGATTGGGTCCTGAATGTGAAGTTGGGAAGTGTTGGTTATTTATAGTTGTCAAGTGATTGACGATCTTTCAGATATGGAATTTTGGGTTTAGGAAATTGTAGTCATCTAATCTAATCTTAGGGATTGCTTTGGCTCCAAGCCGAATCTTACCGATCGATCTTACCATGGCAGTTCTACTGCATTCTGAATGGCAAGTGTTGGTTATTTACACGTGTCAATCTTTTAATACATTTTGTGCTTCAATAAATACGTAAAAAATTACTAAAAATCGTTTTTTAAAGGTATGTATATTAATATCTTAATAAAAAACAATGTGAATGCATGTTGATATAATAAGATAATACAAAAATATAATATAATATTATAATAAAATAAAATAAATTGTTATTTAATTTATAAACATTTCACGATTTATAAATAAGGAAACAAAATCTTCCATATTTAAAATAACAAAATTCAAATGGGAAATTTATCTAAATCATCTTTCATTTAAAAAGAGAAAACCCTGAAATCACGTTAATTACCATTCATATCCTAGACACTACAAATTGAAGGACTCTTACAGATGGAAAAAATCGTCGATAAAAGCCCAATTTGTCGCTAACCTAGCTTGCTAACTAGCAACGGGTTGACTCTGCCGCTAAAAATCATCGCTATACTTAGTATTCTATTAGTGGAAATACAAACGAAATCAACAAAAGTTGACATATTTTTTGGTCAAGAATCGAAATATGCAAGTACAATAATGAAAGTTAAGTGAAATAAACGTGGATTATTAATATATATTGTTAAGTACAAACAACTAAAATGATAAGATAATAAAAGTCTAAAAAGACGAAGGATCGTGTGAGAAGAAAAAGTTAAAGTGAGAAGCGTAAGGAGAGATGTGAACTCTTAATCACTTTTAATCTCATGTCAATCCATAAATTGCGTTTTAGAAGGGAATTGATTTAGAGTATCTTGGTGTACCTCATTAATGTTGACATTCATTCAATTAACATTGATCTAAGGATGAAGATTTCTTCTTATACTTCTCACCGGAACCCAACTCGATCCAAAAAACCATAACATTTTAGACATATTCTGTTATAAAGATTAAAAACTATCACCAAACCCTTCAAGAATAACAAGTAATTATATGAACAACTACAGAGAAAATGTTTACAGAATCTTGCAATATAGTAGCTTTTTTCTTTTTATTTCAAGAACCAGATGAAATTCTTCAAATTATTGCCTCTTCAATAATATTTTTATTATAATATCAATTTAATTGTTGTAACTTATTAACAATTATTTAATAATTCAATTTAATAATGTCTCTCAATAGTCAACTTTTAGAACATGATTATCCTATATTATAAAGTATTTGACAAAAACTCTTAAAAACCATTTTTTATGCATGAAGTGCTGCTTATTAATTTATCTTATTTAAATTTCAAGATTACATATAATTGTGTGTACATACGACTTATTAAAACTTCATGTTTGAATTCGTATAACTAACTGTATATAAACATAATCAAATACATCATAAACTTCTCATTTTGTATATAAAATCTAAAATATAATTAGGATAATTATTGCGTTATAACACAATACTTAATTATCATCTTTATAAAAGCTTACATTATTAAACCAAAAAATAAACTACTTTATTATTAAACCAAAATTTGATTATAATAAAGAAAATTGAATTAAATAAATTACAATAAAAAACCGAGAACTTATATATATATATATATATATATATATATATATATATTTTTTTTTTTCAATATTTTATGATATCTTCAAATTTATATTTTATTAAAAAATAAAAACATTATCGCTTTCTCAAAACCAAATATAACCGTATTATAACATCGACGGAGACAATGAAAAAAATGAAACCTTAAAAATCATGATGTACCTTGCTGCATTGTTCGAATACCCTTCTAGTCATCACTAACAAATTTTAATATATAAAAAACGGGAACACAAACGCTGAACAACTGTGTTGTGCTGTTATGTCCTGTCATGTTATGTCTGTGTACCAAACGCCTAAGATTTGTATCGATGGGTTTTATACATTTTTTTATAATAAAAATAGGGTGCTTTCGTTAAGAGAGTATGCCGTTATTTACAAAAACAAATTTGGGCCTAAAAATATTTTCTTGGACTTTCAATAGAAGGACAATTTACAACTTCAATATTAACGATTTATAAATTTGTGATCTTAAATAAATTTATAAAAGTGTAAACCTTAAATTAAGAATGAAAAAAAAAAAATACAAAAGCTAAATAAATTACAAAAAAATATATTTTTAAGGTAAAAAAGTCCGGCCTTATAAAAAACGCACGCGATGAAACGTCTTAAGACGCCATGCCGTAGAGCCACGCATTACAAAAATGTTATAAACTTTATCGTAACAACAGAGACACGTCTTGCGCCATGGGGCACCTTTTTGAACGCTTATTATAATATGTAAACACATGATAACGTAGACGATGTTGGTGTAAATCACATATGACTATGATATGAACTTATTCACATGTGATTATTGGTATTAAATTAATATGTTTTTAAGTTATTTTATCGTTGTGATATATTCAAAATTGACACAGTGGATCATATGTTATACGTAATAGATCACATGAGATTCAAACATGGATAAAAAAATTGTGAAAAATCACTAAAACGCAATAGGTTGATTGTGAATATCTAATGTGATATTGACGAAAATTGTAAAAAAAAATCTTATCCAAAATGGATTTAAAAAAATACTACAGAAAATAAATTAATTAAAATCCAAAAATTAATAAATCTAAATGATAACAATGAGACTTGTAAGATATTCAAATAGTTATTTTTGTTCCAATTCTAACTTCAACGAAATCTGACTCCATTGAACATCTTAATTTCTAAAAATATTTTTTTTTATAATTAATGGTTTCGAATGAGTTTGGTCGTTTAGTTTGCTTCTCAATTTCTCGTAAATCATGAAAATACATATCATATGTATCTTGAACCGTATATATAAGCAGATCTATGAAAATAGCCACCAAGGTAAAAATGCCCAATGCTTCAATTACCAACACAAACTAGCTAAGAATGAGCTTCAGTCTCATCAACCTCTCGCCTTAAGGTTTCATATGATTCTGCTTAATATAAGAAAACATAAATTAAGAGGATATATTCTTATAAAGGAAAGGGGACATACTTAGCAATCAATCAGATACAGTTGTTGAATTTTGAAGCTAAACAGAGTGCAGTTTCATCTTTTCAGCCATGGGAAGGTTGTATTATATATATATATATATATATATATGATTACTAAATAACAAATAATGCATCATAATAGAGCAAATGCAGTGACACCTGGAACTCCAAAATATCATATTTCTGTGTTTAAAAATGATAAGCATGCCAAAATGTAATTAGATATGACAGTAACACCGTGGTTACTTCAATGAACATTTTACCGATTAATCTCTAAAAATAATCAAATTTTAAACCACTAAAATATACGGGATATAATTTTTAAATGAAACTCCAAAATGTCTACTTTGATTTGATACGCTTCAACCAATTCTTTCTTTTGGACTAAAACATAAATTAACCCAAAAGTTTAAAATTTACTAACCAAAAGTTATCAACAATCATCCAGAGACATAACTACCTGATCGAATACATACATATATATACACACCAAAAGGAAATACATTTATACCCAAAAGAAATAAGCTGTCACTTGAGTCAAAACCCGAACTAAGTCTCCTTATCTTTCCCTTTATCTACAATCATTTTTCCTGAAAACGGTTAATAAAAAACGGGTAAGCTACAATGCTTAGTGAGACTATATAAAAGTACATGGTTATAATGTGTTATATTTAAATATAAGAATCGAAGAATGAAAGAAAATATCGAAACACAAATTATTATAACATCGAAGACCAACGAAAAGACATTCGTGCCATACAAACATCTATCACATGGGTCAAGTATCATATCATGTAAATATATCATGAATCAGACATAAAATTGTCAAGAATAGTGCACCACACCCACCTTCATCTACTGGGTACGTGTAGAATAATACTCACACTCGTCTCCTGCCATTCGAGATACACCAGTACAATGAACTGGTATGTCACACCCACACTCTATCTCTCTGGATACGTGAACATACACCGCTTTCTAGCGTACCACACGAAGTAATACCTGTATTCATGGTTTACCAAGAGATTAACAAAACAGTCATGGATCCAGACTCGACCAATATTGTGGAACGATTATACGAATACAAACCAAAATCAAAGGGACTCACTCATGTTACACCTTACCAAATCATGAAACAAAACTAATAGATACATAAAGTCCATACATATATAAGTTCACATAAACATGTATTTCATATAGACTCACCTTGCATAAACAACCAAATGTCTCGTTCCAACTCCGTAGTCCAAGTATGTATGGTACTCCAAAATCTCAATTATACATTTATACTCCCTGGAGTATACACATTCAATTCCATAAGTATATGATTAGACTATCTCATTCTATTCCATTTCTTAGCTAGCTAATTCTATCCTAATTCCCCTATACAGCCCTTTGTTCTAACCCATTTTGACCATCTTAAACTCAAGAATTATATTCTGACTTATAAACAAGAAATAAAGTAGCCTATTTTATCTTTCAGATGCCATTGACTTTATGTCCATTGAATTTTTCTTTGATCTCATACGAATTTTCTAAAACAAGACATAAATATTGACTTTTATGTTTCAAAAATGACTATTTTTAACAATCTTGTATCTAAACCATTTCCATCTGGAACCAATTTCAGATTTCTAACT